ACAGAAGTGGAGTTTAAAATAGTCCTTACGTTGGTTAATATGTTTATTTTTAGAAGACAGCGTTGTATTACTGAAATTTCCCCCAAATAAGTTGCTGCTTAAAGCTGTAACTACAAATGGAGATCTGTACCGAGAATGCTAAAGATTTAACACTTTTCTTAATCCCTTCTTTATTAAAATTTTTCCACACACTGAATAGTTGATACTTTCTTTAGGCCAACTTTCTCTTATTCTATAAAACACTGGGGAAATAGAATGCGGTATATAAAATTTCACTTTATGCACACAGCTTTTCCAAAGAAGTACCTTTTTCTTAGTCTTAAACTGTATGAGTTCAGTGTTATTCTGTGTTCCCTTTATCTCTTAAATTAAATTGTCCTCTGTATTAAATTTGGGGAATATTATAGTAAAACTTTAACAACTTGGACGTGGTAAGTTGGCAGAATTTTCTTTATCCCCAAATCTTGACTCTGTTTTGGGCTACTTAATACTGTTGTGCTTTGTTTTGTAGATACTATAAATATACATACTTTATATATTTTTTTCCTGTTAGAACTATACCTGCTTGTTGCAGTTTTTCTTGAATCGCAGATCACGACCATTGCCTTCTAATAATAACAAAAATCATTACTCAGAATTCATAGTGGTCAGAAAATATCTAAATGCAGCATTAACAGCCCTGGCTTCTGTATATTAATAGAATACGTTTGAGACCTCCTGTTCTTTATTGTAATACCAAGTCAAGTCTCCACCAGTACAGCACACTGCTGGAGAACATGGTTTTGTAGCTGTTAATAGACACTTTGAGTGAAGAGGTGGGAGGAAAACAGACTGACATTTTGACATTAACTTTTTCATCCCCCTCCACCCCCCACCCCCACCCCAACAGCAAGTTGAAGTAGACTGCCAACAGTGTATGCTCGAAATCCTGGATACAGCGGGAACAGTAAGGATGTTTTCTTTCTTTTTTTTTTTTTGATAGATTTTAATTTGTGAACAGGTTTTTTTCACCTGAATGTTTCCTCTGATAGAAGCATTTGTTCTGATTAAGAACTAAGTCTCTAAATGTAGGGCTTCTTAAATTTTCTTATGTTCATAAAATGATCTATAATGTATTTAATGCCCACATATCACTGTTCAATTGTATGTTGTGTTCACCTGCAGAATCTGTGCAGTTTCTTTTCCTTGTATTGAGGTAAGGATTATGCTATTAACAGCTTAAAAAGGTATTTTACATCCAGTATTTTAGTTAGAGAGGTATTTCTCTGTGTTTAAATACGACTGTGTCTTGACACCATGGTCATTCATTTTTATAGAAATTGGTTTTGCTTTTTATTAATATTTTAACATCTCAAGAGGCTGGTGACAGTGTTTTCTTTAGGATTATTCTGAGCCTCATTTTTCACATTCTTAAATGAGTATGACATTCATACTTCAGGGTGCTTATAAAGATCAAATGAGAAAGTGATTATAAATCACTTGGCACAAAATGCCTTTTATGTAGTATGAAGTCTATGTATTTGCTTTTACTTTCATTGTCTTCATTTGTCATCACCTTTTAAATTTTGTTATAAATTAATGATGATTTTATTCTGCCACAAAAAGTGCACACATTAAGTGATTTTTCCCCCTTCATATGCATAGGCTTTACCTTTTAGGTAATTCTCAGCTTTAAAATGGGTGGTATTCTTCAGTGTTTTTAAGTTTTTTAAAATTCAGCAAAAATATCCCCACTATAATTTTATAAACGGTGAGAAAGTTTTAGGTCAAAAAGAAAAAAGCAGACTGGAGCAATTTAGAGTACTAATTATACCACACATTTCCATTCTTTTGTGGCAAAATGGATCTCGAGTCCAACAGTAAGCTTTGGATCACTGGAACTACACCTTTTTTTTATCAGTTGAATCAAGAGGCCTCCCACTCCTGCCACTCCTCCTACCCCCAATTTTCCTAGCTTCTGAAATAGTAATAAT